ACCTTTTCTGAGAAAACTAAAAGCAAAAGTACTTGAAGTGTCGCACCAGTGGGGGAGCATTTGTCCATTAAGCACAAGGCTGAGCTCAATCCCCAGTACTGCAAAAAAACAAAAACAAAATACTATGTGTCTAAGTGCATATGATGTCAGGTATGGCTGTACCGGGGTGCTGAGTGTCCATGTCAGGAATCGGGTGTCCTGACCTCATGGCCCTGCTTCACCCCTCTCTGCGCCTAGCATTCTAGTGTGCTCTCTGCCTTTAAGAGGACAAGATGACAGCAACTGTCTAAGCATCTCCCTCCCCTATGGTCCCACCACTGCAGTCTGACTTATGGAACCTGATTGGTCACCTGCCTGGATCTTAGCCAATGACAGAACAGAGAGGATGGTCTCTGCTGGTCTGTCAGGTGCCAGTCATGTGACCTCTCTCTCCAAGATCCCCTTGGTGCTCCTTCCAGGTGAGGAATCTTGTGATACCTGAGAGAGCAGAGTTAGGGATGGAGCCTCTGCCTCCTCTAAGCCTAATTTTGGGGCTATGCCTGTCCCTCCTTGTACCTTTTGTTCACAGAATTCATGGCAGCAACTCTTCCCTTCCAAGCCCTATTTTGCTGTCTGAAGGTTTGATATGGGGTTTGCTCCCAGCTTCTAGGCCAGCTACTTGTGTGATGCTCAATCTAAACTTTAACTGTTGACTTGCTATGTGCCAGTGTGTCAGGACCTTACAAGCTGCTGGACACAGGCATCAACAAGACTGAAGATGTTCCTGTCTCCAAGGCACTGACACTCGGGCAGCTTACAGAGAAATTGGGAAGACAAAGGCAGATGGAGTAAGTTCACATGAAAAAAAAATCATGGCAGCCAGTGGGATTGTACACACTCGCAATCTCAGCACTTGGGAGGCTAAGCCAGGAGAATCGTGAGCTCAAGACCAGCCTGGGCTACATTACAAGACCCTATCTCAAAAAGGAAAAAACCATGGCTTGGCATATCTGCTTTTTTGTCCCCAATATCCCAAAATTCAAAATTATTGTCACTGTTTTCCCATTCCTTTCACTGTGTATGTGATGGGTCACTTTATTTCAGAAATTTCTATTTCTCAGTCTTAGAAACTATCCCCAAATTATTCCATTGGCGATTTTCTGTTCCTGTTCCACCTGCTGTTCTTTTTGGAAATAATTTTATTCACTTATTGAATTGGTCCTCAAATATTCTGAAAGATTGACTCAATTTTGCTTCCAAACCATCAACTTATATTTTCCTTTATTATCTTGACTTTCTTATTAAATAATTTGTCTGAATGTTCCTTTTTTTTTTATAGTGCCCTGTTCTTGTTTCATGGATACAGGATCTCCTCTTACCTCTCTGAGAACATGATGAGAATTTTTTTTTTGAAGTACTGGGCTTTGAGCAAGGCAAGCTCTGTACCATATGAGCCACATCTCCAGACCAGAAAACACAATTCTATGTCATAAAACTTAAAATATAATAAACATTTGGCTAGGAACTGTAGGTCAGTGGTAGAGCACTTGCCTAGGATGCATAAGGCTCTGAGTTTAAGCCCCAGCACTTCAAAAAAAAGTTGATAAAAATGAATGCAAAAACAATAATGAATTGCTTTACTGTTGTGGGAAATTACGAGCTGAGATAGGGGACTCTGAGGCAGATTAGCACAAAGCAATGTTTATTGTGCTGATGACACAGACCCAGCGGACTCATGTCCAAAGGCTGAACCCCGGGAACAAAGGGGTCTCACCTTATATTCCCTTCCAAGCAGGTTAAAAAAGCAAAAAGCAAAGCCCAACCCACGTATGGCTGCATGTGACTCCATTGGCTATTTCATTCCCCCAGTGCTATGTGACCTTCATGTTTTAATTCTTTAAGTTTTATCTCTCTGCTTTGCCATCCTCTCCCCCTGTCTCCTTAGACACAGCCTGTCTGTTTCTCTTCTGGCCCTCCTCCCTGCCACATTACAACTTTGGGTGAGACATTTGCAAGAAGGATGCAAAATTGATGAAGGAATGTCAAACAAAATCACAATGTGGTAGCACTTCATACCTAAGAGGGAGCTATAATAAAACAAATAATAACTGCTAGCAAGGATGTAGAGAAAGTGAAGTCCATTAGCATTGCTGCTGGGAATGTGACATGGTGCAGCCTCTTTTTGGTTCCTCAAAAAGTTAAACACAGGCTGGAGGCATGGCTCAAGCAGTAGAGCGCCCACCTAGCAAGTGTGAAGCCCTGAGTTCAAACCTCAGTACCACCAAAAAAACAAAAGTTGAACATAGAGTAAACATATAATGCAGCAATTTACTCCTGGCTGTGTACCCAGCAGTACTGAAAACAGATTCTCAAACAAGCTCTTGATGCAAATGTTCACAACACCCTTATTCACCACGGCCAAAAGGTAAAAACACAAATGCCCATGGATGGAGTGTATAGACAAAACTGATTTCAACATACAGTGGAATATTAATCAGTCTTAAGAAAGAACGAAGCTCTGCGTTGGTGGCTCACGCCTGTAATACTAGCCACTTGGGAGGCTGAGATAGGGAGGACAATGATTCCAGGCCAGCCTGGCCAAAAAAGTTTCCAAGACCCCATCTCAATGGAAAAAAGCAAAAGGTGGATGTGGTGGCAGGAGCCTGTCATTCCAGCGACAGCAGGAGACTTAGAACACTCATGGTCCTAAGCCAAAAGGAAGAACCCTGTCACCGGAGCAAAAAGTGAAAGGAAAGTGAAGAAGTGGAAAAGAATCACATCTGCGACCTTCGTAAGCAGCAGGCCTTTATTAGGGAGAGGAGACCTGAGAGGGACCCTCAGCCAGCAGAGTAACACTCAGAGAGGGGCGAGAGCACGCCTTTCTTACAGGCTGGGGATTTTAAACATTCCGTGGTGGGAAGAGGGAGGCTGGAGGGGGATGGGTTGGGGTGGTTGGGAAAGAGGATGGGGGAGGCGTTGGACATTAGCGGGAGGCCATTAGGGTTGAGCAGGTATGCGTGTTGTTATCTCGACATTCCAGCAGTTCCAGCATTTGCATTGTTTCAGTGTTTCCTAGCAAGTGGGAAGTCCTGAGTTCAAACCCCGGTACTGCCAAAAAGAAAAAAACAAAAAAGAAAAGAAGAAGAAGCGTTGCTACATTGTGTGCTTATAAATGTACATATTTATATACGCAAATACACTTACTGCCTCCCAGATTTTTGGTCGTTGCTTGCTCTGTGATCACAGAGTTGGTTCTTTTAAATCTTTCTCTTTTTCCAGGCGCAACAAGGTTATACCTTGTCAGGAAGGGATGCTGGGACGATATAAGAGGACGATTTTACCCTTAGTTCCCCCCTCTTCTTAGATAAGGAAACTGAGGCCCAGGAAGTTTTCCCAGTCACCCAGCAATAAGTGCCATCTGGCGCTGAAGCCTGCGTCTCCCTTAGGGCCCCAGGCCACCCACTCTCCGTACCCTTCCTAGAAGGTCTAGCTCCATCTCAGAGCCCTCGGTGTGCCCTCGTACGTGTGAAACATCGAGTATTTTAGTGAAGAGAACACAACACACTCTTTCCTTTCCTACGATATGTCAAATCTCGGTTCTAACCAAAGGGTCTTAATCTATCAGAGGACTTGGGACCAGCACGCAAACAGGCTGCTAGTTCTTGGAGCTTAAGGGAGCGAAACCAAGTGTAAAAGTGAGTGTGAGGGGCTTCCGGAGGCCATTGCTTCTAAAACAGTGCCTCTGAGCGGCTAGACGAAGTGGAGATTTCTACCACGCTCCCTAAACCTAGTGTCGCATAGCCTTTTGGGAAATAGAGTCCTCGTACTCTCCCTGGGATCAGCAGGGAGCCCGGGGACGGGACTTCCGGCGCCCTGCTGCGCATGCGCGCCTCTCTCTGCGTGCGCGTTCACGCATGCGCACGGCTGCTGCACTGCCCTCGCTTCCTGTCTGTCCCAGTTCACTTGCAGCCTTCGCTCCCAGACTTGGTCCTCTGGTCTGTGAGAACAGCGTTGCTAGCGGGGTTGAGGGCCGAGCGACCGGGCGGGCACTAAGCGGGTGCTACTGTGCGCGTCAAGGTCCGCGTGGGCCGGCGGAGGCGCGAAGGGGAAGCGAAGAGCCCGCGGCGGAGGACCCGGCGGGCGGCGGCGGCTGGACCGGGCCCGGCGCGCGGCATCCTCGGCGGACGCAGCCGGACGGTGAGTGCCGAGGACGGCAGAACTGGGCCCCGGGAGGGACGTTCGGCCTGAAGTTGTCCCGAAGGCCCTGGGAGCCCCAGGGCGGTGGGGAGGTCGGGACCTGCGGGCCGGGTGAGCGCGGCCTGCTGCAGCAACCGCGCGGGCACAGCGAGGGGGCAGCGCAGGTTCCGCGGCCCCGGGGACGGAGGCCCGGCGGGCTGCACGGGTCACGGCGCTCCGTGAGGGGCTGTGAGGACCGGGAATGACGTCCTGACTCCGCACCCCGACACCCCTTCCCCCAGCTGTCCCCGCTCCAGGATCCCCGGGTCTAAACGTCATGGGCACCTCTGTTCTTTGTCTGCTGACCCCCACTCCCCAGCTCTGTCCTGTAGAGTCACCCGGTGTAGTGCAGGAAAAGTCTCTTTTGCCTGGATCGATGGAGGAGGAAGACACTGGGCTGGGGAAGATGGGTGACTTGACCAAGGTTAAGGTCACAGGTTTGTTGGTCGCAGTGCTAACGAGACTGCAGTGTTCTGTCCGCTGTGGTCCGGTTTAGTTAAGTACAGCATCAGCCAAGTTTAGGCGGGTACTTTAAAAACCAAACCATTCTTTATGCCCATTAACACCCCTACCCCCTTTTTTGTGATAGGATCTTGTTGTGTGACTGGTACTGGCCTTGAACTCATGATCTTCCAGCATCAGCTTTCCAAGTGCTGGGATTACGGTGTACACCACAATGCCCAGGCATTCATTCCATTTTTGAGAGCTCAAATTCTCAATTCCTGTGGCTTCTTTGATTTTAAGCAATTTGAAGAGCCAGTAAGCTGGGATGTGGCTCGCAGGTAAGAGTTTGAGCTGGGCATGTACAAGGCCGTGTTTCGATTCTCAACACCACAACCCAAACCAAACAATAATAAAATGAATGCACATCCCAAGAAAACTTTCGGTTTTTGTGCCTTGTGTTTAATAGTGGCAGAGCATTTGAGAAAGGGAGTCAAGGCTTATATTCAACTTTGAGTGTCTAAGCCATCCTGTATCACCTGATGATTTAGAATTTAAAAAGTGTGTGTTTCCTGACTGTCACTGGTTTTTTTCCCCTCTTGAGTTTTCAGTAGGTATACTCCGTTTGATGGTTCAGCTAGATAATTCCTGACTGAAGTGACCTGCTTCTCCTCCCTTAGGTCCACCCTCAATAGACTACAGTTTCCCAAGAGCAGCAGAAAATGAACAGATTGAAGGTGAGTGTTCCTGTTTGTGTATATTTTCTTTCCCTCTTCTTCGTAATACATTTGAGGAGGTTTATAAGGATCTGTTCTTTAAATGACAATGTAGAAATGGATAAAAGATATTATCAAGTGAAATGCAGTCAGAGAAGCAAATCAGCACTGAGAGCCTTTTGTAAGGTCTTTGGTGCAGGTGAGTGATAGTTTAGGGCTAATGAAGCTATTGCCAAGTAGCACTTTTTTTTTTTCCTTTTTTGTGGAATGGAGTTTGAACTTAGGGCTTCAAGATTGCTAAGCAGCTCTCTACCTCTGGAGCCTCACCTCCAGCCCTTTTTGCACTGGTTATTTTGGAAATAAAGTCTTGCTTTTTGCCAGAGTGAATACTGAGATCCTCCTCTTTTAAGCTCTCTGCTGTTTTTTTTTTTTTTTTCCAAACTCCCCCATCTCTACCCAGCTGACCTTGAACTACAATTTTTCCAATCTTAGCTTCCGGAGTAGCTAGGATTACAGGTGTGCATCCCCAATGCCTGGCTTGATAGGCTAGATAGTCATAGAAAAAGGAAAGTAACATCCATTACATCATCAGTGAAAATGAAGACATTACAAGACACCATTGTTGTTACCTGTGAGTTTTAAAGATTTTTCTTTGTTAAAGTAGGTATAATTGCAGATAGCTTTCCTAATAAACTATTGTGGTGCATGACTTCTCTTTGTCTTTGTTTTTTGTTTGTTTTGTGGACCAAATTGTTTAATCCAGGGATGAAATCAGGATCATGGGGGCATGACCTGATCATCCTTTACTGACCTGCTTCTCCTCCCCTGGGTCCATATTTCTGTCTGTTTGGGTTGGACAGCAAACAATGCAAGAATATTCACTAACAAAGATTTCTTCACTTCCTATTCACATTCATTTCTCAGTATTTTGGTTACATCTTTACCACTTTCCTGAATCTGTAGGTAAAGAATACCAATGACTTAATAACAGGCAAATCCAGTGTACATTTTCCAGTCCTTGCCTCATACGGCCCTTCATCTGCTTTGACATTTGTTGCTCCCAAAGTCGTACTTCCTTCATGGCATCTCTCCTTTTACTCTGGGCATCTCTCCTTTTACTCCGGGGGTAGGGGTGGGGAGCTTAAAAAACTCATCTGGGGACTGGGGATATAGCTTAGTGTTAGAGAGCACTTGCCTACCCTGTCTGCACGTCTGAGTTCATCCTCAGTACTGGGGGGAAAAAAAAAGACAGACACAAAAAAATATGTATTTCTGTATTTGTCTGTAAGTGATAGCCAGTCTTTCTTTAACAGAGTGGAGACTACCCACAATGCCATTCTTTTTGAATATATAATGTCTGGTGTTTCGGTTTTCTAGAAAAGTTTTGGTATGTTTTCTCTCAGTATACGGTGACATCCACACGCTGCAGTTGGAAGATAAATGTTTTATTGATAGTTCCCCTAATATGTCTCTTTCTGCTGTTTATTGTTTGAAGAAACTAATTTGTTTATCCTCAGTTTCTCAGTTTGGAATGTGTTGTCATAGTGTTACCTTTAGCGAATTTTTTTAATTCCTTTTATGCCTTGAACACTTGGTAGCTTGATCTGGAAGTCTGATCAGGTCGATTAAGTTCACTTCTTTTGTCAGGACTGTTTTTCATGGCATTGCTTCCTTTCTTGCGGGGTCTCTGTCACCCTCCTGGCTCTGCTTTTGTGAGGTGAGCGTCTTCTGCTTGATGATCATTGCCACAGTCTATGGATTCCCTTGGGAGGCAGAATGGCAGTCCACTAATTCTACCCTTTCTTCCTCATTTACAAGCTAGAGTACTTATCTGAAACTCAGCTTCACTTCATTTTTGTTGTATATTGGAAGACAGGAAGATAGTTTTCAAAATTTTGAGTAGCAATTTTGTTTTTTTGGCTGGTTATCATGAGGCCATGGGTTTAAAAATGTTTCATGTTGGCTGGACACAGTGACTTATTTCTGTAATCCCAGCTACTCCAGAGGCAGAGTGGAGTATCCCAGGCCAAAAAAAAAAAAAGTTACTGCAACCCCACCTCAACGTCAAGCCAGGCATGGTGGTGGTACACACCTTAGATCTCAGCTACCAACAGACAGAAGTAGGAGGACTGGTCCAAGGCTGCCCCAGTCAAAAACGAGACTCTATCCAAAAAATAACTCAAGCCAAACAGGGCAGGGAGTGTGCCTCAGGTGGTACAGAGCCCCTGCCTGGCAAGTGTGAGGCTCTCACATGCTAGGCAAGTGCTCCACCAAATTTCAAGTAGCTCAGGTGACGTGAAGTTGCAGATCACTTGGATATTTAAGTGGTTCCATCTGCGGGCAGGGAAGACCCCTTTAAGTTGATTTCCAAGTCCTTTTGAAATACCTCATATATTTGATAGCATTTGTTTGTAATCAGTATTTTATGTAGAAATAATTTGAGATTTACAGAAGAGTTGCAAAGAAATCACATTCTTTTTGCTCAGAAACTTCAGTTCTTAACATTTTACCACATTTGCCTCTGTGTGTGTGTCCATACACATTTATGCATGCACATATTTCCTGTACCATTTGAAAGAGGGTGCCACGTGTCGTGCCTCTTTGCCATGTAATGCTTCAGATTATCCCTCCTATAGGCAAGGACATTCCCTTACGTATCAATGGCACAATTAGAGAATTCTAATTGTACTTCATTTAAAGTACAGTTCATTTTCCAATTTTGCTAGTTTCCCAGTATTTTCCTTTATGGCAGTCATTATTTCTGGTAGAAGAGTCAGTCCAGGATTATGAACTGCACTTAGCTTTCATGCTTTTTTAAGGCTATTTAATGTGGAGTAGTTTCTCAGTGTCATTATACTATTGGAAGAATTATAGGCCAGTTATTTTATTAAAAAGTCTTTGAGATTAGGTTTCCCTGATGTTTGCTCACGCTTTGCATTTAGATTGTGAATTTCTGGCTGAACACTGCATGAAAACTTAGATTTCTGGATTAGAGTAGGATCTGCACACTAGAGAAGACGAATGTCCTGCTCCTGTGGGGTGGAGTGTGTGTGAGCGCTGATGACATCAGATTGATGAAATCGGCTGCATTGTCCATGTGTTCTCTGTCTTTGCTGACTTTCTGCTACTTGTGAAGGGCGGATGAAATCTTCTGCAGTTACTTTGTTGCTTTCTTTGGAATTCTGTCAGTTTTTGCTTCCTATATTTATTACTTGGATAAACCTTCAAGATTATGTCTGCCTAGAGTGCACAAGGCCCAGGGTTTAATGTCCAGCACTGCATTTAAAGAAAAAAGATTTTAATGTTTTTCTCAATTACCACTTTGCTGTTGAAAAAAGCCACTGAGTCCCTTTTGAGTGATGTGGGCATAGTACATCTTACTTTACCTTCTGCTGTTAGTGTGTTTGCGTCTTTGCATTGAGCACGCTTTTCTTATAGGTAATGTACAGCTGGGCCTTGCGCTTTGTTTTTGTCTACTCTGACAATTTCTGCCTTTTGGTTGAGGATGCTTGGACCACTGCTGTACAATGTGTTTGTTACTGTATCTGGTGAGGTTAGAGTCTGTTCTGTTTCTATTTGTCCCATATTTCTTCTAAGTCTTCCTTCCTTTTGTTTTTTGTGTTTTGTCTTGCTGCAGGTGCTGGGGATTGAAGCCAGGGCTTCATACATGCTAGGCAAGCCCTCTACCACTGACCAAACTCCCAGACCCTTGATTTATGTTTCTTATTATGCCATCTTACGTCCTCTGTTGGGCCTTTAACTATAACACTACTTTGTTACTCTGCTAGGTGTTTGGGATTTATAGTATGCAACTTTAATGTATCATAGTTTACCTTCCAGAAATACACTGCTTTACATAAGAGCTCACAACAGGTACTTCCATGTCTCCTCCCTTTGGTCATTACACTATTGCTGAATAATGATCTTTTAAAGAGTTTTACCTAATGAGAGAATTCACAGCTACCATTTCTAGTCCTCTTTGTTCCTTTGTATAGAACCAGGTTTAATTTGCTATCATTCACTCCTCTCTGAAGACTTTTAACATTTCTAATTGGTGAGGAAATCTTTCAGCTCCTCTGTCAGAAATATCCTCATTTTTCCTTTGCTTTAGTGGGGATTTTTGCTGGAGTTTTTCCCCAAATGCTTTAAATGTATTCCTCCCCCGCTTCTCAGTTGTAGTGTTTCCAAAAGAAATCTGATCTCACCTGTCTTTGTTCCTCTGTATATAATATGTTCCCTCTTTTTTCATTGCTGTTTGTCAACTTTTCTGTTTCTCACTGGTTTGGAACAGTTTTCTTGTGATGTGTCATAGTGTCACCTTCTTCAATTTTCTTTGTTTGGGGAGTGTTGAACTTCTTGGATTTTTGCATTTGTGGTTTTCATCAATATTGGGGGAATTCTCCTCCTCATTACTTCCCCACCTTCCTTTGCTGGTTGAAATTGTCCCACAAACCCCCTCTCCCCCCAAATATTCTTGATTTCAATTTTCCTGTCGGTTTCATTTTATACAGCCTCAATAACTCTGTTTTCATGTTTTGTTTTATTTATCCCTGAAATGCCATTGATCTTGTCCAGTGTAATTTTCACCTCAGATTTTATACTTTTCACCAGTAACAGTTCTGTTTGGGTCTCTACTCAAGTTTTTGAACATGTGGAATACAATTATAAACTGTTCTGGTGTTCTCTACTAGTTATAACATCTCAGCCATTTCTGAGCTAGTCTTTATTCACTGGTTTCTTCCTCATAGCTTATATTTTTCCTGCCTATTTCTCCCACTCTCACCTCCTTCTCCTAAGCTCTGCCCCTTCTCCCCTGTTCCACAGTCTGGAGAGGTCCTTGTTTCCACCTCTGATGGGTCACCGTCCTTCACTGCATAGGGACCAGTGTCTTGAGAACCATTGCTTCTGTGTGTGGGAGGGTTGCAGGAGGAGGGTAAATCCAGTCCATTAGTTCATCACCACTAAAAGCACATGTCTTAATGTTTGAGTCATAGTTAGAAAGCCTTACCCCACATGGAGGTTACAGAGAAATCCACCTGGTTCCTTCTTTTCTTGTAAGGTTTCATTTTGACATTTAGATCACTGACCCAGTTGGAGTTGGAGTTTATTCTTCTATGGTGTGAGGTATGGATGCAGTTTGATCCATGTCCAAGTGGTTAGCATTTGCTTTAACAAATTTGTATTAATCAGTCTTGTGTGACTGCAATGAAACGCCAGAGGCAGCTCACTTGTAAAGAAAAAAGGTTGCTTATCTCACCAGTTTGAAGGTTCATGGGTGTGATGAGGCTACAGCTCCATTTTGGGCTGTGTCACATCACAGTTGAGCTATGTGTTTAGGAGCTCACATTACCAAATAGGAAAGTCAGAGTCTGGTGTCCCTCAGTCCCTTCTGAGGGCACAGCCTCTGAGCTAAGGACCTCTCATTAGGTCCCACCTCCCCAAAGTTCTACCACCCCCTAACAGTGCCACCTGGGGATCAAGCGTTTAATCACAGTGCACTCTTGGGGGACACTTAGGCCACACCCAAACCATAGCACAAATGATTGGGACATTCCTGTTATCACCTAATCAGAAAAGTCTTTCTAGATTCACTTTTCTTTTTCTGCTCTTTCGGGTTTTTTTGTTGTTTGTTTGTTTTCATTGGTTTGGTGGGGGAAGTTGGGGTGTTTTTGTTTTGGTTTTGGTGCTGGATTTTGAATCTAGGGCTTTGTGCATGTTAAGCATGTGCTCTGCCCCTGAGCTACACTTCCAGCCCTACCAAGCTGTTTTAATCATAGAGGCCATGTTTAAAACCTAGTACTGTTAGGCCCCTTTCATAGCTTGTTTTCCATTTACAATTTTCCTGGCTGTTCTCCATTCCTCCCTTCCCAGTATGGACTTCTGTGTCATCTGGAACAAATTCTGGACCTTGTGTCTTTGCAGGAGTAAGCTTGTTGTTTTTGTTAGGATCATATTTCCATAAAGTAACTTAGGGTAACTGACACCTTTATGTTATTAAGTTGACCTGTCCAAGAGTAAGGAATATTCCATTTGTTCCTCTCTGCCTGCATACCTTTCAGGAGTAAAGATATCCTAGTAGAAACACCCTGTGTGCATTTGGGTTGCATCTTCTTACTCTATGAGAGCAGGGCTGTTGATTTGCGTGTTACCTGCACTGTGACATGACAGTTGTTTTATGGATTTGGTCTCATCGTCAGTTCTCTGAGTTTTAATGTCATCTGCAAATGAGAGTCATTTCTCCTTGGTTTCATTCCTTTAGCTGTTTCCTCCCGTTGGAGGAAATGAGTGTTTTACCTCGCTCCTGATTTTAGTGAGAGTGTGCGTCTTTTCTCCACTGAGGAAAATCCCGACTTCAGTATTCATTTCCATTTCTTATTTTCTGAGAAAGTTCCTGAGTTACTATTCTGTGTCCCCTTTGTTAAACAAGATTCTTATGTGAGGATTTTTTTTTTTAAACAATCCAGTCTCTAAGTTCTAAGCATTCTTTGCCCAATGCTCTTGTTTTAATTATTTAAAAATATGGGTCAGGAGACATAATTTGAGTTCTGCTTCCTGTATGAATTTGGTTCCACTGGTGTTGATCACTCATATTGATGCTGCTCTTTCATTCATGCTCTTTTCCTCAGTTCGCCAGTGAGTCTTGCTTTTCTTTTGCCGTTTGTAGCGAAGAGCAGCCAGTGTGAATGTGCTCCAGTGATTACCCCAACTGATGCCTGGTTCATTTCTGGAGACCATGGCTGCGGAGTATGAGAGCTGTCTGGGAGGCCACCTTGTTAGATGGCCATCACTTCATTTTCCTAGAAGAGGAAAAGCAGCAGCCAAGTCAATCTGTTCAAATTGCTTTCCGTTAACAAGGGTTTTCTACATTTGCTGTATGGGAAGATCCACGTACAGTGTGGCTAGGGATAAATAAATACTCTGGTTTGCTGAGACAGCCCTGGACTGCACCTGCATTCCTGGTGTCCCACCCAGAGGTTTCTCTTTGGACAGTGCATACATGGTCGCCCTGATAATGGACTCTATGACATCTGGCTGCCAGAGGTTTCTCTTGCAGACTCAGCACTTGTCCTGCTGCTCTGTAAACTGACCCCAGGTACCAAGCAAACTGCTCGGGTCCTGTGGCTCATTTTCCTGTCATCAATCTCTGTTCCTACTGGAGCCCCAGCCTGTTAATTGGCCTCAAGTCTTCAAGGGCTCTACTGGAGACTGCCCACTTTGCTACAGGCAGCCTGGATACAGTGTGTGTCCCAAGGCTCTGATTTCTTGGGTCTCCTTCTTGTCTCTGTACATCAAGGATATGCATGAGACACTGCTGGTGGAAGAACTTCTGTGTTCCGGTACTCTTAGTAGAATGGAACTAATTTTTTTTTGTTGAGTTGGACTTATTTTCAAGGCGGGAAAATAATTGTGTATGTTTGATTTACTCTCTTGAGTTAGAATTAATTGTTATTACTGTTATTGTCAGAAGCTGACTTTGGGAATGTGCCTTCTTGGCATCTTTTGACCTGTTCTTCTTCGCTAAACACTTAAATATTGATGCTACTTCACTGGTACTTTTTATACCTCATCATCACCTTTCTTCCTTAATCCTGTAGAATACACAGTTCACCTTTCAGGACTTTAAATTAATTGGATCTGTGAAGCCTAATTGGAACATAGAGTTGAAGTAGTTTGGGTTGTGTTTGTTAATCTTCTTCGTATATCACGCTAATAACAACTTCAGGTGTTCATTCAAACTATATATTGCTGCAAGAATAAAATGTTTGAGATATGATGCTTGAGCTGGGCTGGGGGGGTGGCTCAAGTGGAAGAGCACCTGCCTCCAAGCACAAAGCACCGATGTCTTCAACCCCCAGTACCCCCTCAAAAAGAAGATGTTGCCAGGTGCCAGTTGCTCACACCTGTAATCCTAGCTACTCAGGAGGCAGAGATCAGAAGGATTGTGGTTTGAAACCAGCCTGGGCAAGTAGTTCATGAGACCCTATCTCAAAAACCTTATCACAGAAAAAATAGGTTTGTTGGAGTGCTCAGTGTGTAGGCCCTGAATTCAAATCCCAATACCACAAAAAATAAATAAATAAAGATGTTAAGCTGAAACTCTAAGTAAAAAAAAAAAAAAAACTTAGCAATGCGGTTAACCAGAGGTAACTGGCTATGCAAATAAAAGAGGCAAAAAGGATCTGAGAGCTGAAACTGGGTGAGAGCACCAGGATAGTGATGAGAAGGAAAGAGACAAAGCCTTAGTCGAGTGCTGAGGACCATGAAGGGATCTGAAAGGGGAGGGAATGGCCAGCAAAGAAGACCCAAGAAAGTGACAAGGAGTAAAACACATGTATTTGTTTATATGTGTCTCCTCGTTAGGCTGTCACTGTCTTGAGAATGGGAGTGGGGTTTTACTTGTATCCCCAAAACTCACATAGTCTAGTTGCAAAATGGGAACTCAGTTGTGTTTTGATTTTAATTTTTGTTTCTTACATATTGAAAACCTCAAAGGTAGTCAAGCTCCAATATCGTTTGTTAAGTTGTTCAGTGTTCACAGTTAACTGTACCAGTGAACTTGAGAAAATCTTGTCTCCAGTGCCTTTTTCATGTCACTCAACTCTGTGCTGCCGTTGCAGGAACCGGTGTCCTTCAAGGACGTGGCTGTGGACTTCACCCAGGAGGAGTGGCAGCAGCTGGACGCTGACGAGAAGACCACGTACAGGGACGTGATGCTGGAGAACTACAGCAACCTCGTCTCCGTGGGTGAGGCCGCTTGCTATCTAAACACTTGAAATTTAGACTCTTCTTGAGTTTGAGGAAACAAATGGTAAGCTCTTTTTAGTTCCTTTTGGGCAGAGGTCAAGTTTTGTATTTTTACCTCTCCATTGGAAGGTTCTGATTTTGATAAGTAAAAAATGGGGTCTTTATTGTATAGCATGGGTGGCAGCATCTTCTGCAGTCGATTTCTGAAGTCAGCCAGCTAGTCCAAGTACCTCTGCATTTCTTGTTAACAGGGTACGATGTTACCAAACCAAATGTGATCGTTAGGTTGGAGCAGGGAGAAGAGCCATGGATGATAGAAGGTGACTTGTCCTCTCACAGTTGTCCAGGTGAGTGAGTAGAATGTCAAATTTTAGAAAATGGTCATCCCAGTTGTAGGGCAGCTTTAGGAACTTGATGCTTAAGGCTTTACACCAGATGCAACATAGGAGTATGGAAACTCTTGTTTGTCTTCAGAAAAAGTATTGTGATAGGGACGTGACCAGTTGGGGAAATTGTAGTCATCACATTGAAAGGAAATTTATAATTAAACATAATGAGCATTGACTTTGTATCATAAACTCTTCTAAGCCCTGGTTGTGAGGTCTCTCTAAATGGTAGGAAATTTACAGCAGTGTAGAGAGACAAAGATGTGGGAAGAATCTAGGGTGGTCATCTTGGTATGCAGTGATGTCTTGCCATTTAATATAAATTTTGATGCATTTCTCCCAGACGTAGTCCATACTTAATATTAAGTTACCTTTGCACATGTGCCCAGTAATTATTCTCCCACTGACCCTTTTCCTCCAAATCATCCCACTTCTTCCTGGATCAGCACCCTTTCAATGACTTTACACTCTGCTCATAATTTCTTGGGTTTTTTTTCACCTTTCCTACCAAAGATTGACTATTTGTAAAGTAACAAAGGTGCTTATGTTCAGTGTGGATTTACTCACTTTTTCCACTACTACTGAGTTCCTGCCCACCCTCCTCCTTCCACACATCTCCCCACCCATGTATGTGTGCATGTGTGCAAAAAAAAAATCAAAGGAAAGCAAGCCCTATACACTCATAATTAGTTTTATTTGTGGACAGTGGTCCTAAGTGAGAATCAGTCCCACAAATGAAATATGTAGATACCACTCCCATTCGGTAGCTTGTGTGTTCAAATTGACAAGGTTTATTTAATTGTGCTTCTTTTCAGGAGAAGTCTGCAAAGCTGGTGACCTAGTAGAGGACATTGAAGGCAAGCATTTGAGGCAAGCTGTCGACATCAACAACCAAGACCTGCTGGAAGACAGAGGGTGTGCATTTGAAAAAATGTGCAATGTAGAATCTCTCCTTGTTTCACCAAGCATGATAGCTCACAGTTGTGTCTCCTGTGGAAAGAATTTAGAATCTATTTCAGAATTAATTAGTAGTGATGGAAGCTATGCAACAAAGAGATT